TGTCCTGTCCCCCCAGGGGATGACCGGAACCCCCAGCCGCCCGGAGGAGTTTGTCTGCAGAGCCCCTTCTCCCTCTGCTTTACAGGGCGAGAGCCCGTCAACGCACTTGGGGTCGTCATGGGTGTCGGGCTGGCCTTGCTGATCCTGGCGCTTTTTGGCTACGCCTTCGTCCAGTGGTACAAGAGGGGCCAGTGCTGGCGCCGTGAGTACAGGCAGAGCGGGGGGACAGGCAGCAGCAGGGCAGGGAGGGCTTAAAAGAAAAGGGCTGCAGGGCCTGGGATGCGGGGAGCGTCACATTTGCTGGTCCATCACCATCACCACCACGTTTGCTGGTCCCGGTGGCTGGGGAAACCCGCGTGCAGGGCGGCTCTGGGGCAAGCTGGGGGCATGCGGAGACCGAGGAGGGGGGTGCACAGTGACGTCCTGGTGCGGCTGGCTGTCCTGCCCGTCCCCACACCGCTTGCGAAGGCGAGTTCATGGCACCACGTGGCTGACACCTCTCCTTCCCGCCTTCCCAGGACCCGACTTCATCTTCAACCTCTACCACACCTGGTGAGTGCCGCTGTGCAGGGACCCGGGGTGGGCTGGGTGCTCCCTTCGCACAGTGCTGAGGTGTCACAAACCCTTGCCAGCCCCAAACCCGCTGAGCTCTGCTGTTCGCAGGCGCTGCCTCCCCGGGACAGATGCCCTGGGGAGCCCCAGCCGTCCGGGAGCAGCGCCCACCCCGCGGGCTGGCAGGGACTGGAGGCGGGCAGGCAGCTCGCTGACATCTCTGCCTTCCCTGCAGCCGGCCGGGGGTGGTGGCGGTGGAGCTGGTGCCACCGTTCAGCATCAGCGGCTCGCTGAGCGAGGCAGGGAGCGGCTACGTGGCTTTCCAGAACCGGGGGCTGTGAGGCGGGAGCTGGCCTGGCCCGCAGGTAGGACATCACCCTGCTCCTCCCTGCCTGGTGAGCGGGTCCCCGGCCGTGTACGTCCCCCGGCACAGCCCACAGCAGCAGCGGCGTGCAGCTGCCCCGCGGTGCCTGGGAGCAGCCAGCGCTCGGGGCAGCTGCAGCAGTGGGTGCCTCTGCGGGGAGCCCAGCGCTGGGCGAGAGTGCTGTGCCCCAGAGCCTCCGTGCCTCCTCGTAGCCCTGGTCGTCGCAGCTTTCCCTGGGATAGTCCCAAGGTTTTTTCCTGCAAAAATCCTCCCGATGCCTGGGGGGTATCAGGGGCTTTCCCTGGGCTCTGGTTTTGTTTCCCCCCATGCGGGCTTCGGTTTGCATTTCCTTCCCCATGCGCCGCTCTCCTTGGCCTGGGGCTGGGCATGTGGCTGGGGGTGAAGGCAGCTCCGGGCTGGGGCTGGAGCCCCTGTGCTCCCTGCGCAGCTTCCCCACGCTGCCTCACGCCCGCCTTCCAGCAGCGACAGAAAGAGCAACCAAAACCAGCCATGGGGGAATTCCTCTGTTCTCGCTTCTTTAAAAAACAGCCCCTGAATATGCTGGATCGCTACTGAAATTAACGGTGTGGTTTCTGTTTTTAAGAGAGCAGCTCCATCTGCTCCCCACAGCTGCGCTTCTCTTGCTGGCCCTCCCTGGCCACGGGCAGCATTGGAGGGTGCCTGGGGCTGGCTGCCATCCCCGTGCTGGTGCACTGGCCTAGCCTCCCCTTGCCTGAGACGGAGGAGGAGGGAGCTGCCTTATCCCAGGTTTCCTCGGCACGCATCCTGGAGAGAAAAGCTGCCTTCCCCGTGGCTCAGAGACACCCCGGCCCTCGGGACCGGCCGGCTGCACGCCCAGGAGACCTCGGGCCAGGCTGTTGGTAAACAGGGCAGTGGGAATGTGGAGAACAGCTAAAAAGGATGCCGATGAGCCACGGAACTGGATGGCTGGTTTTGTGCAATAGGGGAAAATGCCCGAAGGAAATGAGACTGCTTCAGACTTCCCTCCTCCGTCAAAGATCTGGACCAATGTGGAAATTTGTCCTCTGCACTGATAGTGCAAGCAAACACCTCAGAAAGCCCCTGTTTTCTCGTGGCTTTCTCGTGCCGGCTGCCTTCAGCCTCGGCAGAGCAACCAGCCATGGAAGTGCCTGGAGCGCGAGAGCAGCCCTGGCAAAGTGCACTGCTGCCCTCGGAGAGGGGCCCCTGCGTGGCAGCGGGGGCTTGGGCTGTTTCTTTGCAAACCGTTTTCTCAGAACGAAAAGGAAGAGAAACTCGGGAGACCATGTGACCGTGCGCGGGGAAACCGGTGGGGACGGAGCAGAGAGCCCCGCTCTGCACCCTGGCCCGCAAGGGCGCTGGCGGCCGGCTGCAAGCAGAGGCTGTGGGATCGCCGGGGACGGCCAAGGGGCTGGGCTGGAGTGGGGCGGCCGCGGGAGCCTGCCCGGCGGCCGGGAGCTCGGGCTCCGTGGCTTCGTGCCGCCTTCCTGTGCACGGCACCCTGAGCGCGGGGTGGCTCTGCAGGCTGCTGGGGTGGGTGAAATGGCCGTGCTCCCCCCGGCAGCACCCTGCCTGGGGAGGGATACTGCTGCCCGCGAAACACCAGCCCGTGCAAAGCCTGAGCAACCTGGGCACTTGCCTCTTGTGCTGTGTGCCAGCCTGCGGTGGGACAGACGGATCCCCTCCGCCGTCCCCCTCCCTTTTCCTTCCCCGTGCCCACTGCGCTGCTCCTCGCGGGGTTTGTGCAACGCTGGGGGCTTTGCAGCCCTGTCGTTGGAAATGCATTGGGAATATTTGCGTGGGCTGGTGCCGTGGAGGAAGGGTGTTTGCACGGGTGCAGCCCCGCGCTGGGGCGGCCGAGGTGCAGTGCTCCTGCTGCAAGGAGGAGCGGGAGGAGGAGAGCTGCTTGCAGGGGGAGCCAGAGCTGAGCATCCTCCGTGTGTTAGGCTGTGACTTAATTCAGAAAATGTGAGCATCTGGGATTTCCAGAGTCAGAGGGACTGTCTGTGCTCTTGGCTGTCGAAGCCAAAGTGCGTGGTCTATGGCTTTCTGGCCAACACCCCTGGTTTCATTGAAAGGAGAGCCCTGGCCGCTCGCAGGGAGCGGGGAAATGCCACCTCTCTTGGCCCTGGGTGCTGCCCCCGGGTGCTGCCGGCTGGAGCCTTTCGCAGCGAGCAGGAACCGGCAGCACCCAGCGCTGCGCAGGATCCGGCTGCAGCACTTGACGTCAGGACTGAAGCACATGCTGCACCAAGGTAATTTGCTTTATCGCCATTTAACAAACCACACTAGCCAAGGATGAACCCTATTCTGCACTAGTTCAACCACTTTACCATGGTGCAAATTTTGTTTTGTTTCATGTAATTCCCTATTTAAAAAAAAAAAAAAAAAAGGCAAAAAAACCCCAACCCCCAAAATACCCAGAGGCAAAAGAGATGGTGGAAGTGGAAGGGCAGGAGGACGCCTGGCAGCAGGCACGTGGCTGGCATCGCAGTGCCGCTGCGGGGGGTGCCCGCCGTGGCCAGCGGCCGGGCCCTCCGCGTGATGCAGGGAGCATGTCTGAAGCACGAGTAGCGTGACGTCAGACGTAACAGAAGGAAACACAGCAATGCATCAACAACCTGTCTCCTGACTGCGGTGATTCATGTTTTCACCTGAACAAAGTACTCCCCGAGCTGGGTTTCCACCAGCAGTTTTAACAGGACTATCCCACCGTGAAGGTTCTTGGAAACTAAGTGACTTTTGGAAAAACTCTCCAGTGACCTGGCAGTAGTCAAATGTAGATCATGGTAAGTCATTCCCATCTCATGCTTGTTTCTATTCTGACAGAAACTGTTCCCCCACCCCCCAGTTTCCACTTGTTCCTCTCTGCCCTGGGGGTGCTCCTGCCCTTCCCTGGTCCCCGACCCGCTGCCCTGTGGGACGCGCTGCACGCCCAGCGCGCCCCTGTGGAATCACCGCCAGCTGCCCAGGTCCTCCTCCGGTGCATGCTCCCACAACGCAACGCTCTCCTGGGGCAACTACCCTGGTCCTCGGATGAGTGTGAAGCTCTCAGTGGGCTGGCTTTGTTCTCCTTTTTTTCCAGTTGTGATGTGGAAACACTTTTCCCCATGTAAGGCAAAGGCACGTTGCCTTTTGCTGCAGGGGAAAGTCCATATCTGATAATGGAAAGCGCAACTTGACCTTAGAAGAGGATGTACAGATGAATGGACCAAATAAATAACACCACATCCTTTCTGTATTTACAAATTAAATAGAATAAATAATGTCTGTATGCAACAGTGGCAGAACGCGGACCATAGTGTGGGCAGGGCTGCCCTGGCCCATGCGGGGCTCATATGGCAGCTGCCGCACGCATCCTGCACCCCTTTGGACGTCGCCAGCGCCCCGGGTCTCCGCCATAGGGGCTGAATGCCGAAGGGTCTCTGTAGGGTCAGGAAAGTCCCTCGCTCCCTCCAAGCGAGGCCAGCCAGCGTGGGAGCTCCGCGCTCCCAGCAGCAGGACGGCTGACGTCAGGTTGCTCTTTGCTTTCCGTGTCTGTGTTGTGAAACGCTTGGACAGTATCGGCAGCGTGGACGTCAGCTGGAGAGCCCTGGCATTCGCCTGTGAAAGGGGGAAGTGGGGAGGGGAAGCGCAAGGCTGGTGCCAGCCCCAGCCCCGAGGGCGGCCCTGAGCCTGGGGGCTGCGTGCCCCGCGCTGGGCTGCTGGGGAGGGCAGACAAGGCAGGATCGCCCTTTGGAAACATCCTGGCGTGCGTCCTCGGGTTTGCTGGTCAGAGGAGGGGTGCTCCAGCGCAGCCCATCCCCGTGTCCGTTGGCTTTACGCTGGAGACTGGCTGGAGAGAAGGTGCAGGGCGCGCTGGGGGCTGGCCACAGCGGCACTGGGGCCAAAGCAGCCCCAGAAGCAGCTAAGCTGGTGCTCCTCGGGTGCGTCTCGGCCAGGGCACCACTCAGTTTGATGGGTTAACATTCAGGGGTCGGCGGTAGCTTATTGGAGTAGCTGCTCCCCGTGGGCAGTGGCTAGAAGAGGTAGTTGGGTCAGTGTGTGGGGCTGGCGGGCGCCCGCTCCCCAGCACGGGGACGGCTCACAGGCGGCTGTCCTTGCTGTCCCCATTGAGCAGGCTCAGGGGGTTGATTTGCAGCGTGAGCCAGTCGTTGGTGCTGAGGCTGGAGATGAGGGGCAGTGTCCCCAGGAGGTCAGTGTTGAAGATGCTCAGGTCAAAGGGAGTTTTCAGGAGCTCGGGGCCGGCTTTGGAGGTGAAGGGAGCACCCGGAGCCCCATAGCTCAGCAGAGTGGGGGCTCGGGGCCCCAGCTGGCTGGAAAAGTCCCAGACAGTGGGCTCCTGAGGGACTCCCCGTGGAGCAAGGTCCTGCGCGTGGCTGCAGGGATGCTTGGGAGAGGACTGCTTCAAGTACCCTTTGGCCACAGCCAGCTCGGAGCACTCTACATCCAGCACAATGTCGGTGCTGCCCGGGCGCTGCGGGGATCCTGCGCAGCCCGAGAAGGGCACCCCCTTGGCTGGGTCCTGCCTTGGCTTCACCGTGCCCTTGGATTGCTGCAGGTAGCCGCGGAACTCCACGTCTTGCTGGCTGTCCTGGCCGGCGGCAAGGGAGAGGCTGAGCTCCCCTCCGTGGGGCAGCCTGGCCTCCGCGGGGCTGGCATTCCCGCTGCCGGAGGGGCACGTGGGGCAAGGGCAGGTGCTCTCCAAGCCCACGCCACTGTCGTCGCCGGTGGGCAGCTGCTGCTTGTAGCCCTGGGGCTCGGGGCCTGAGGAGTAGCTCAGTTCGGAGGAGGAGGTGTGCAGGCAAATGCCGCTGTCGGTGCTGGTGCAGCTGCTGTCTCTGCTCCCTGTGGCCCCCGGCCCCAGCAGGCGCACTTGGTCCTCGGGCCACTCTGGGAGCCTCCAGCCCTTCTCCAGGGGCAGCTGGGCTGTGCCGGTGCTGCTGTCCGGGCCGCCGTCCTGCTGGGGCTCCTTCTGGCACAGGAATAGCTGCTGGACAGGGTCTGTGACCAGGCTGCCCGAGGTTGAGGACTCCTGCTCTACCCAGAGCGAGCTCTGCTTTATGAAGGACTTCTGGGAGGGAGAGAAAAGAGAGGAGTGAGCCGTGCGTCGTCCCTGCTTCTTGCCTGCCTCTCCCAGCAGCTACCCAAGCCTGCACCCTCATGCCGGCCGCAAAGGGTGCTGCGTGCCCGGCTGCCTTACCAGGACGGAGGGCGGCCTCATGGGTTTCTTTATGTAGGTGCATGCGAGCAGAGCCCCCAGGAGGCCCAAGAACAACAGGGTGATGAAGGAGGAGCTGACGATGCTCAGGACAAGCTCTGCGCTCCCTGCAAGAGAGGACGTGCCCAGGTGAGGGGGGAAAGGCAGAGTCCTCGGTGCACATAGCACAGGGCCAGGAGGCTGAGGAGGATCCGCATCCCGCAAGACCCCCCTTCCCTGGCTCCCCCGCCACTCACTGTCTCTCTTGCCGATGGTGATGCACTGCTCGGCGGTGTGCATGGCGGGGGCGTGCCGGCTGGCCACATCGGGCTCCACGCTGATGCAGTACTCTGTGTCCCAGAAGAGGTTGCTGATGTTGAACTCCGGGGATTTCTCCACCAATTCGTACTGCAATGACCAGAGTGCGGGCTGGTACCCGAGAGCCCCCAGCTCCTGCGGGAGTGCTGGGCCCTG